ACTCATCTGCGCAGAGAGGGCTGACCCCTGCACCCACCCATGGAGGTCAAATAGCATTTCTGAAACAATGAATGGATTAACAATGAGATCCAGGAAGAAATCAAAAATTAACTGGAGACAAATGAAAATGAACACACAACAACCCATAATCTGTGGGACACCGTGAAAGCAGTCCTGAGAAGGAAGTTCTTAGCATTACAGGGCTACCTCAAGAAGCAAGAAAACTCTCCAATAAACAATATAGCCCCAAACCTAAAAGAACTAGAAAAAGAAAAACAAACAAAGCCCAGTGTAAGTAGGAGGAAGAAAATAAAAAGGATCAGAGTGGAGATAAATGTCATAGAGACTAAAAAACAATACAAAAGATCAATGAAACCAAGAACTGGTTTTTTGAAAAGATAAACAAGATTGACAAACCTTTAACCAGACTCACCAAGAAAAAAGAGAGGAGACTCAGATAAATAAAGTCAGAAATAAAAGAAAAGAAATAACAACTGACACCACGGAAATAAAAAGGAATGTAAGAAAATACTATGAACAATTATATGCCAACAAATTGGACAACCTGGGTGAAATGGACAAATTCCTAAAAACATCCAATCTTCCAAAAGTGAATCAGGAAGAATCATAAAATCTGAATAGACTGATTGCACTAATGAAATTGAAACAGTAATCAAAAAAAGTCCTAAATCAGATGTATTTACAGGTGAATTTTACCAAATATTCCAAGAATTAACACCTATTCTTTTCAAACAATTCCAAAAAATTAAAGAGAAGGGAAGACTACCAAGCTTATTTTAAAGGGCCAGCATTATCCTAATTCCAAAACTAGATAAAGATACTACACAGAAAGAAAATTTTAGGCCAATCTAATGAACATGAGTGCTAAAATCCTCAACAAAATATTAACAAATCAAATCCAGCAATACACTGAAAAGATCATACACCATGATCAAATGGGATTTATTCTGGGAATATAAAGTTGGTACCATGTTTGCAAGTTAATAAACATGATATATCACAAATAAAATTAAGGATGAAAGTCACATGATCATATCAGTAGATACAGAAAAAGCATTTGATAAAATCCAGCACCCATTTATGATAAAAACTCTCAGCAAAGTTATAACTTAACATAATAAAGGTCATGTATGTCAAACTCACAGTCAACATCATACTCAATGAGCAAAAAATAAAAGTGTTTCCCTTAAGATCAGGACCAAGACAAGAATGTCTGCTTTCACCACTCTTATTCAACACTAGAGGCCTAGTGCACAAATTCATGCATGGGTGGGGTCCCTCGGCCTGGCCGGCAATCGAGGCCTATCAGGAGGGCCAGCTGCCTGAAGGGAGGTTGGCCAGTCACAGGAGGTTGGCTATGGGAGCGAACTGACCACCAGGGGGCAGCTCCTGCATTGAGTGCCTGCCCCCTGGTGGTCAGTGCGCATCATAGCAACTGGTCGTTCCGGTCATTCTGGTTGTTCGGTCCTAATGGTCACTTAGGTTTTTATATATATACTAGAGGCTCAGTGCACAAAAATTTGTGCACTCGGGGGGAGGGGGTCCCCTCAGCCTGGCCTGTGCCCTCTTGCAGTCTGGAACCCCTCAGGGGATGACCACCTGCTGACTTAGGCCCACTCCCAGAGAAATTGGGCCTAAGCTGGCAGTCAGACATCCCTCTGGCAGCCGGAAGCCCTCGGGGGATGCCCACTTGCCAGCAGGGAGCAGGCCTAAGCTGCAGTTGGACATCCTTAGTGCTGCTGAGGAGGCGGGAGAGGCTCCCACCACCACCGCTGTACTGGCAGCCGTCAGCCTGGCTTGTGACTGAGCAGAGCTCCCCCTGTGGGAGTGCACTGACCACCACGGGGAAGCTCCTGCATTGAGAGTCTGCCCCCTGGTGGTCAGTGTGTGTCATAGTGACCAGTCATTCCCAGTCGTTCTGCTGTTAGGGTAAATTTTCATATTACCCTTTTATTATATAGGATAGAGGGGTGGTGCATGGGTGGGGGCCCGCTGGTTTTCTCTGAAGGGTGTCCCAGATCAGGGTGGGGGTCCCGCTGGGGTGCCTGGCCAGCCTGGGTGAGGGGGCTAAGGGCCGTTATCAGATTGGCCACACCCCTTCAGGGTGGGGGTCCCCGCTGGAGTGCCTGGCCAGCCTGGATGAGTGGCTGATGGCTGTTTGCAGGCTGGCCACAGCCCCTTCAGGGTGGGGGTCCCAGCTGAGGTGCCTGGCCAGCCTGGGTATGGGGCTGATGGCTGTTTGCAGGCTGGCCAAGCCCCCCAGCAGGGACCCTCACCCCATGAGGGTATGGCCAGTCTGAGTGAGGAGCTGATGGCTGTTTGAAGGCTGGCCACAGCCCCCAGCCACCCAAGCTCCCAGTGGAGGCTGGCTGGAAGCAGGTATCTGGGGTTTATTTATCTTCTATAATTGAAACTTTGTTGCCTTCAGTGGAGGCCAGAGCCCTCCAGGGCAGGCGGGAAGCTTTGCTTCCTCCATCACTGAGGCAACCAAACCTCCTTCTTGCTCCAGCTCCGTGGCTGCCAGCCGCCATCTTGGTTGGGTTAATTTGCATATAGTCGCTCTGATTGGTTGATGGGGGTGGCTTGGGGCGTAGCGAAGGTACAGTCAATTTGCATGTTTCTCTTTTATTAGATTAGATAGATTGTACTGAAAGCTCTTGCCACAGCAATCAGACAAGAAGAAAAAAAATGCATCCAAATTAGAAAGGAGATAGTAAAACTGTCATTATTTGCACATGGCATAATACTGTATATAGTAAATCCTCAGGACTCCACCAAAAAACAACTAGGACTGGTAAATGAATTTGGTAAAATAGTAGGATACAAAATTAATATTCAGAAATCAGTGGCATTTTAATACACCAATAATGAACTATTAGAAAGAGAAATTAAGAAAACAATCCCATTTATCTTTGCAAATATAAATAATGTACCTAGGAATAATTTTAACCAAGGAGGTAAAAGACCTGTAGTAAAAAAAAAAAATAGGAAACTGAAGAAAGAAATTGAGGAAGATACAAACAAGCAGAAGCATGTACTGTGTTCTTGGATAGGAAGAATTAACATTATTAAAATAGCCATACTACCCAGAGAAATCTATAGATTCAATGTAATTCCTATTAAAATGCCAGTAGCATATCTCACAGAACTAGAACTAATATTCCAAAAATTAGCAAAGCCTAGAGCCCGAGGTCAGTGCTAGGTCTCTTTCCCTCTTGCCTGATGCTCTCTGTCACCAATTTAAAAGAGAAAGGTAAGAATGAAAATGCTGATGAGTTAACAGCAGAAGGAATATGTCCTGGCGTGAGATTGAGGAGATGGGAGATGGGCAGCCTTCAGGGACAGAAAAGTGGCCTCCTGGTGCCACTGGAGGGTTGCAGCCACTTTACAGGCAAGGATACCAGACTCAGAGATGTTAAGAAATTTGCCCAAAGATGCAGAACTAGCAAGTAATGGAGTCACACTTTCAAACCCAGGTATTTCTGGATCCAAAGTTACCCCCAAATTGAAGAACAGACTATACCACAAATTGCTGTGACACTAGCTTTAATGCTCTTAATTCACCTTATTGAAGGTTAAGTGTTGGTCGATATTCTTGGATGCTGTAAAAATATGTTTCTCCAAAAGAAACATCTAAGCATAGCCTGGGAAAAGACATGCAAATTGTAATTCCTGAGATGCTATAATTTTGGAATGACATTTTGTCCCATTTTAAGGGTAGAGGGAGAGAAATTGAGTTGGTCCACCTTAAAAAATGTAGAGAGCCTGGAGCTCAGAGTCACAGACCTCACCCGGTGAATACGAGTGTGCCCTGTGGAAGCCCTGGCCATGTAGTGCCCAACAGCGACAGCTGCAATGGCGATGCTCATTTCAACCCCCCGAACCAATGATTTGCTTTCTGAACAACCTGTGTGCTAACACATTAAACGTTCCCCTGTTTGTGTTTAATGAGAAACATCTCTCAGTTGCTGTTTGAAGATAATGTAATTAGGGCCTGAGGCCAAGGCCAGTGAGTGCACAAGAAAATGACAATCAAGAAGGCTCGGAAGGAAAGTTGCATTGTTAGATTTTCCCGGGAGCCTCAGCCCTTCTTCCCTGTTAGCTTTGAACAGGATACACTGACTCCGTGTACAGTCTCAGGACATTGGATCCAATTTAGTGCAGCATAGAGTTAGACTTGCCTTTACCCTGGGAGTTTCCTGAGCCATAGCTCTGTCTTCAGAACCAGAGCACCTGAGGTCAGCCACCTCTCTGCGAGGGGCTCACAGGATGGGTCCAGCCTAGTCTTCTCCACCTATTAGCCATGGGACTTTGGCAAGCCACTAATCTCAAGTCTCCGTTTTTTTCATCTTTAACCGAGGATAGTTAATGCCCCCATGTCACCTTGATATCATTAAAATACAGTATTAGATTGAGCCATTTGGAACAGCCACTGTTTGACCTGTAAAAATAGCAATTGCAGGGTGTTGAGCCTGATCCTTACCACAGGACCTGGTACAATGATCGTTCAATAAGTGGTAGATGCTATTGGGATTATCAGCCCAAATAGAGCACGTTGCAGGCACTCAGTAAGTCAGTACTAATCACTTTGGATTGATAATTGACACATGGGCTTATGCAATGGAGATTCTGCCACTGCACATTTATCATTCACTTGACATCTAATTCTTCTTAGGTGACAGGAACTATGCTGGGCAGTAAGAATGAAATAGACGGGAAAAGCAGAATCCCTCCAGGTTCATACCTTCGTGAGGGACAGTGGGTCTGAAAGGTGTGCAGTAAGTATAACAGGATGAGGAAGGGGGCTGTGCTAAAGTACTAGTAAAAGGGACTCTGTAGAGCACAGCCAGGCTCAGCACAAAGGAGAGAGTGGTTGCTTCGGCTAATACATTTTTGGATGGTCTCTCGATGCCAGGTACTGTTCTGAGCTTTTTCCCTATAATTGCCGCTGATGGTGTCCTTCTCCCCGTGCCTTTCAGCCCCTGAAGATGCACTGCAGGGACTGTGCCCTGGTGACAAGCTCGGGACATCTGCTGCGCAGCCAGCAAGGCCCGCAGATCGACCAGACCGAGTGTGTCATCCGCATGAATGACGCCCCCACGCGCGGCTACGGGCGCGACGTGGGCAATCGCACCAGCCTGAGGGTCATCGCCCATTCCAGCATCCAGAGGATCCTCCGCAACCGCCACGACCTGCTCAACGTGAGCCAGGGCACGGTGTTCATCTTCTGGGGCCCCAGCAGCTACATGCGGCGGGACGGCAAGGGCCAGGTGTACAACAACCTGCACCTGCTGAGCCAGGTGCTGCCCCGGCTGAAGGCCTTCATGATCACGCGCCACAAGATGCTGCAGTTTGATGAGCTCTTCAAGCGGGAGACTGGCAAAGACAGGTACAGAGGGCGGGGTTGGGGGGCCCTGCAGGGGCACGGGGGAGGGGAAGGAAATGTTGGCGCTGGCTGATTCACCCCAAGCAACTACTGTGGCCCCACTGCTCGTGCCATTGACAGAGCTCATCTGCAGGTCCTCCCGGAAACTGGGCTGCTCAAGCTGAATGTGTAAGGCAGAGTGAAATGAAGAAATGAGACAGCTGTATGGATAAGTCAGGGCCAAGTCCGTGTTCGTGAGGAAGAGGCCACACAGCTGCTGGCTTACACTGGTAACAGGCGTGAGATAATAGCTTTACTGCATTTCATTTCATTTGTGTGAACACTGACCAAAAAGAAACATATGGGTTGGTTTTTTCTTTTCAAATGCAAGCATTTATTCAGTCGGCTGATATTTATTGAATACCTATTATTTCCCTGCACCAGGCACCAGAGATGGAGTAAAAAACGAGATAGATCTAGACCCTGCCTTCCTGGAATATAAAGCTTACAGGGCGGGTGAACATGCACCGAGAAGTGGCCAGTGTGCTGAGCGTCAGCGAGGGGAGGAAGGTGGTGCTCTGACGAGCAGGACAGGACGCCTGCCCTAGTCTAGGGAAAGCTTTTCCAATTGTTAGTGACAACTCAGTAATGGGACATGAAGTCAGCGTAGTGAGTCACGGCAGGATTTTTTTTTTTTTATGTAATGGAAAGAATGACATAGAACAGACACTATTAGCCTTCATCTCCCAAAGTATTGCTTCATTAAATAATATTTGTTTTGGTTTAAGACATATAACTACACATATGTAGAAGGTTCTTTATGAGGTTACAAAAATGTTCTAGGATTAGATAGTGGTGATGATTGCACAACCTTCTGAATATACTAAAAACCACTGAATGCACACTTCAAAAAATGAAATGAAATGAAAACCACACATGCATACACACGTATGTATATATGCTCAATCACGATGTAACATGTATTTCTCATTGTAGGTTAAAATGTTTTGAAAAGCACTGGTCTAGGAGATGCGGAATGAGGGAAAGGCTTTCTGGTCCCGGGTTCGATTCCGGTCAGGGGCATGTACCTGGGTTGTGGGCACATCCCCAGTGGGGGGTGTGCAGGAGGCACCTGATCGATGTTTCTAACTCTCTATCTCTCTCCCTTCCTCTCTGTGAAAAATCAATAAAATATATTAAAAAAAAAATGTTTTGTAAAGCACTGGTCTAGGAGATGAGGAATGAGGGAAAGGCTTTCTCAGAAAGGTGTATTTAAGCTGAGAACTAAGCCAATAATTATTTATCCAGGAAAAGAAGAACCTAGGAAGGGAAGAGAGAAACCTCCTTATGGGCACAGGAGTCAGAGGTGGAAGAACCCTAATCCTAACTCTGACCTTAACCCTTAATTGGAGAAAAGTTCCCTAAAGCTGCGGGGGAAGGGGGGAGAGGAAGCGGGTGGAGTGGAGGTCACGGCCAGAGATGAGGCAGACATGCAGGCTCATGAGTTGGCAAAATCTAGGTTTAAAAAAAAAAGAGCAGCTAGGTATCAGAAGCAGCAGTGCGTTGTATTTCAAATACACAGCTGACCCTACCCCTCATTAGTTGTGTGTCCTTAGACATGTTAGCTAGTCTTTCAGTGACTTCACATGTGAAATGAACATAGGGACTAGGCCTCAAAGGACTGGTCTAATAATTAATTTCCCTTGTTTCCTTAATTCCAAGCATGTACTTTTATAATTAACATACATTTAATCATGTAATTTACTCCCTCCCTTACAACTGTTGCTGACTCAATTTCATATCTTAAAACTAAAGAGATGTGATAAATAAAGAATATAAAGTACTAAATCCACTGTTTGGCTAGTTTAGGCAGCTCATTTTTGGAGAACAAAACCAATTGTTCCCAAATTCTTTGCTTGGAAGAGCTTTCTTTTTATTTATTTTTAATATATTTTTATTGATTTCAGAGAAGAAAGGAAAAAAGAGAGATAGAAACATCAATGATGAGAGAGAATCATTGATTGGCTGCCTCCTGCATGTCCCCTATTGGGGACTGAGCCCACTACCCAGGCATACACCCTGTCCAGGAATTGAACCGTGATCTCCTGGTTCATAGGTCAATGTTCAACCACTGAGCCACACTGACCAGGCAGAGCTTTCTTCTTAAATCCTGGAAACATTTTAACCATTGAGAGCTGGTCTAGGCAGGAGTGGATGTGGCATCTGATTGAAAGAGAAGGGGAGCTGGCTGTTGGCACTGTGGCCTCCTTTCCTGGTCAGCCCAACCAGCAGATCACATAGGTCATCGTCACAAGCTGCCATGAAATCCAGTCACTTATTGCCCTTTAAAAACCACAAATAAAAGAGAATGTCACTCATTTAAATGAGTTATTTAATCAAGAGAGCATTTTATAAGGGAAGAATAATGAGGGGAGTTATTTATAGTTTAATTTTTGACTGGTTAGAAAACTCAAAAGAAGTAGAAACAATCTTTTCAATAGAAAGCACGTCTCTCTTTTTAGTTTAATGGTTGTTGGCTAATTTTAAATATTCCTAAAACACTGCTGCAGTGTTTCTATTTAGGATAAGTACCCATTGCTATGGAACTTCTTAAGAAATCATTTTAAGTTGGAAATTTGGAGACTATTCATTCCACCCTTCACTTGGGTCTTTAGGAAATAATTTCACATCAAGACGTATCTCACTCACTAAATTCATCAAATTCTGGCCAGTGGAGCCTGTTGCTCAATAGGTCTATCTCCCAAGTGAGTCCAGCTGGAAGGAGGAAACCAAACTTTTGGATTGGCTACTGGGCCCCTCATATACAGACATTCATGTATGAGGCTCCATAGTCCATGTTCAGGAGAATCACACATATGATTTGCAGGATGCCAAAGTACATTGCAACTTCTAGAATCTCTGTGCCTCTTACCTTTAGGAAACTATCTTAAAGAAAATAATATTGTATTGATTCAATATTCTCATGTGTCTATATTCTTAACCTGCAACTTACTCCAAGCTAACAGAACCAAGTCCAAAACAGCCCTTCAGAACAAAACTACTGTAAACTAATACACAAAACATTTAGGGTCCCACAGCATTTCCTCTATGTATGCTTATCTTGAAATCCAACAAAAATGTAGTATGTATCAAAGATACACAAAGTATGGCATATCTAATTTTGTCCATCTCATGATAGGACATTCACTTCAGGCTAATATTTTAAAGAAATAGAATAATTCAATAGATTTTGATTTATAGAAGTTTCACCCTACTTCAAAGTGGAGAAAAAAAATGACTCAGGAACAATCTGCAATTAAGAAGCATGACAAATGAGATAGATGGCCAAGTGGTATTCTTTAACATTAGAAAGTAACTGTACTTGAAAATAACTTTATAATTGAATAAGGGTACATTAGGAAAATATGATTCAGAACCAATATTATAGTAATTAAATAAAGGAAGCATAAATGAAATAACTGCAGGAAGAATATTTCCATAGAGATTATAAATGAGATTCTGGTGGAGCAGAAAGGCCTTTAATTGTAATTTAGTGTGCACTATGGAATTATCGGCTCAGTGTGTTACTTCATCATATAAAAGAATATCTGATAATTTTCCCTAATAAGCACATGACAGCTCTTCATATTCCTTCATTACAGCTGATTAAATGTAAAAACAGTAGCTATTCCTTTGTTGGAAAAAAGAATTCAGATCTTTTTAAGAAAGACAGCACAAAGCAGTTGCATTTCTATAGCATGTGATCCCAAAAGGCTATTATTTAGAAAGTCTGGGGAATTTTAAGTGGCACTTTAAACAATTCTTTAGTTTCTTTAGTCTTCCACTTGGTATTCTTCCCATTTTTACCCGCAAAACCTTTCTCTGTAAGCCATATTCTCCTGTATTTCAGGCTGTAGCTTATGATCACTACTACAACACACAAAGAAAGCCAAAATCATGGAGGAACTTCTGCCATTTGGAAATACCCTCATGGTGTTTCGGACAACTCTAAAAGCATAGAGACACGGGTAGGCTTTCCAGATCTGGGCTCCGCTCCTCCCAGCTATTCACTCACCTGTTTGAGCCTAGAACACCTGGCCATCCATCCCATTGTTACAGCCACGTAGGTGAAGACGGGCTCTAATTTGAGGCAAGGAACTTCCTTCCCTTCTCCCTTCCAGTTTAGTCATTTCTGCTCTATCCCACTTCCTTCATTCCCAAAGGTCTGTTGAAATATCCCTGGTGAGAAGACACGGGATTGTTAATACACACATAAGCTAGAGGCTCTAGAATGTTGTAATTACTGCCCTGACTTCTGATGGTGGCTCCTACACAAGAGTGAGTAGCAGAGTGTTAGAAGGATATCCGTTTCCTTGTGCTTGCTAAAACACACTGAAGGGATGCTGAATTATTTAGTCCATTTGCTCCAACCTAGCAACCCAGAGAGGAAGAAGGGATCTCCATCTATCAACACATCAGACTGGGTACTTTTTAAATATGGTGTCTCTTATTTAGTCCTCAAAAGAGCCCAGGAAGAGGGAGCTTCCCATGCCCGCTTTGCAGGTAGGAAATCAAGGCCCAGAGACCAGCAATAATCTGCCTCAGGTCGTTCAGCGGGTTAGTGACAGAAGCTGGTAAGATACAAACTCATGGTGTCCTCATCTCTAGGAGCTTTTCAATGTATTTCCCGGGCTCTTAATGGGTCAGGATACAATGGAACGGAAAACAAAAATGAGTAAAGGCATTAAGCACCAGAACGTTGAAGCCATGAATTCAAGAATGACTAAATCACTCATTCCTGTCAGGTATTTGACAAAAGAAAGGACTTTTTAAAATGCCCTTTTTTTGTTCTTCATGTGAAATGGAAATAATGCAACCTGCTTAACAAAAATCCTTCCTTCTGAAAGAGGGGTGGCACACAGTGCAAGTCGAAAAGATTTTCAGCAGTCGTGTTATTCACATCACATGTGGGCTGGGGCTGGGCAGAGTCAGGCAGTCTGACCTTGGGGATAGGTGTTTGAAGCTGGCTGATGAGGCATGCTATAAGCACTGGAGGGGGGGGGGGCGGGCGGGGAGCGGGGAGTAGGAGTGCAACCCCAAAGAATTGAATTACTGTCCACAGCAGCATAGTGTAGTAGAGCAAGTCATTCTTACAGGTCAAATTAGACTTTGATGTTGTGTCTCCACAGTTATCCTTAGGCTTGGCACGTAGTTGGAGCTCAGTACTGATGTTTGAGTGGATAAGTGAATAAATGTTGGAATGCACAGATTCATTCCTTCAACTTTGTCAATTTTTGGTCTTCTAATAAAAATTTCCAGAGGGTTCTGAATATTCTGAGGTAAAATAAAGCAAATCTTGTTTAAACATAAGCATTGCTTTGGTCCCCTTCCTCTGGTCATTAGCCCCTCTCAAATGAATGTGCAGCAGGTCCTCAAATAGCGTCGTTTTGTTCAAGATGCTTTGTCATAATGTTCATGAGGGGGAAAATCAATTCCCAACCAGAGTCCCTGTGTGTGTGTGGAGTTTGCACGTTTTCCCCATGTCTCTGTGGGTTTTCTCCGGATGTTCCAGGTTCCTCCCACATCCCAAAGATGTGCCTGGGAGGTGAACTGGTGTGTCTACATTGTCCCAATCTGGGTGTGTGGGTGTGGGGGTGGGAGTGTGCCCTGTGATGGAAGAGCGTCCTGTCCAGGGTGGGTCCTACCTTGTGCCCTGAGCTGCTAAGATAGGTTCCGGCCAACCACGACCCTGAACTGGAATAAATGAAGTTGGAAACTAGTCATCTTACTTTTTTATTAATATTTCTTAAATGTATGTATATCTCACATTTATTTCAATGTTTAACATTTGAACTGTTTGGGGTCTTTATTTAGATGTTTGGTGATGTTCCTGTTACTAGAAATATGCCATCGGAACTCTTATTTGTATCAATTAGCCTATGGTAAAATTGGTTTTGTGATAAGTCATTGTGCTTAAAGTGGCAGTTTCCAAGAATCCATCTATGATGTTAAGTGAGAACTTACTGTGCTCCTTAGGAAAGACATTCAATCAAGATGTTGCCATTAGTCTAGTTGAAGACAAGCTTCAACTAGAGCAGTGGTTCTCAACCTTCCTAATGCCACGACCCTTTAATACAGTTTCTCATGTTGTAGTGACCCCCAACCATAAAATTATTTTCGTTGCTACTTCATAACTGTAATGTTGCTACTGTTATGAATCGTAATGTAAATATCTGATATGCAGGATGTATTTAGGCGAAAGGGTGTCAGGTATTTGACAAAAGAAAGGACTTTTTAAAATGCCCTTTTTTTGTTCTTCATGTGAAATGGAAATAATGCAACCTGCTTAACAAAAATCCTTCCTTCTGAAAGAGGGGTGGCACACAGTGCAAGTAGAAAAGCTTTTCTGAAGTCCTGTTATTCACATCACATGTGGGCTGGGGCTGGGCAGAGTCAGACAGTCTGACCTTGGGGATAAGGGTCGTTCGACCCCCAAAGGGGTCGAGACCCACAGGTTGAGAACCGCTGAACTAGATTGTTTGAAAGAACAATCAATTAATAGACACATGTGCGTTTAATCGGATGTAATGAGCTCTTTATTATCCACACCACTTGATGAACAAGGAATATTTCTGGTTAGTCAAGTATTCTAGTTAATAAAGAGTTGACACAAGGGGGTTATCATCTGACAGGAAATTGAGTTGTGGCAATATGCACTTGAGCACTGAAACATTGACCATCATCTTTGATGATGAGGAAGTCCCTTGAGCATCCTTTAGTGTCACAAGTCTACCATGATGGCTCATCATCATTTATGATTGTACCATGGAACATGGTGGTGTTGGTGGAGCTACCTCTTGAGTAAAAAGCTCCAGTTATTTACCAAACGGAGAGGGTGTGTGTGTGTGTTCACAGTCAGCTTTGCTCCAGAAAGGGTCTAAGATGGTGGTGGGTATGATTATCTTACCAGTCTGCAGACTGAACTGCTGTTGCTTCCAGGAAGATCTCCAACACCTGGCTCAGCACTGGCTGGTTCACAATGACCATCGCACTGGAGCTCTGCGACAGGATCAACGTGTACGGCATGGTGCCCCCGGACTTCTGCAGGTAGGATCGATCCTGCAAGTGTCATTCACCAGCAGTGTCGTGCGGGGTTTATAAACATCTGATTCCAAATGTCAACCACAAAACATGTCTGTCTTCTTGAAGCAATTAATTAACATGTCCCAAGTGCTGGTTCTAGAAAAACAAACAGCATTTAATGATGTGATATAAAATATTGAAAGTTTTTGTGTGTACTGCTGGAGAATTAATCCATCTTGTGGGCTTCATTTATCCTCTGAATATTTATCAACCCAAAGTAATGCAGTAATTGGCATAATATTCACGATGAGCAAGCATTAAGAAATATTAGTTTGATTCTCATTTGAAAGGACTGTGGTAATTTTTAATGAATTAAAGAGGGCAATTTCTTTGACGGCAATGCCTGTTTTCTAAAATTAAAAGATTCCTTTGAGCCTCTTTCCCTCACCACTGAGTCACCTCGGTTTGTGCTTCTAAGGCCAGAGCACAGGCATAATTATTTTGATGTATTACTTTAATGGGAACATACACACATCTCTGTTGCTACCATAAGTTACTGCCTTGCAGGTGCCCAGGCAGAATTTGCTTTCCTAACAGATGCGCTGATTTGCGTAGGCTCGACTGAAAACTCATCTGTAATTTAAAGTTGTTATGCCTATAAATTCAGAATGTGCCCTTGAATTTAGGAATGCCTGACAGCAGCACATGGACAATGCTGATCTTCAAATGCTAAAACCTGGGGTGAGGAATGTTTTAAAGTTGTTCAGTAAAATGTATGCTTGCTCCACATGTATGATACCTAACAACTTCTCAAAAGGCCATGGCCTTTACACAAAATATACAATTTGGACGTTTGAGGCAAGAATAAGAAAAGGGTATTTAGTCATGCTTGACCACTTTTTCCCCACACTTTTGAACCCAAAAACCCAACAGCAACAGTCGTCATTTATATGTAAGGGTCAGGTCATGGAAGAGAACGAAACGTGTGGGCAGAGCAGGCCTTTGTTATGTGCCTGGACTCACTCGTCCCTGAGGGTGACATAATGTGGTAAGGAAGAGTGTAGGGACCGGAGCCTGGCCTGGCCACTTACTAACCTAGCATGACCTTGAGCACATTGCTCAGTCTTTCAGTGTCTCAGCTTCCTCACATTAAGAGTGGAGGTGTTGGTAATAATAGACTCTACCCCATAAGGTGGATTAAATAAGTTAATACACATAAAGTGCTTGGATCAGGGGCTAGTACATGGCAAAAGTTAGCTTGGATTCTCACCCAGTTCCTCATCACTTAATTCACTGGCCTTGTTTCCCTGTTTAACTATCTATGTGCAAAAAGTAGGTAGGATGGTGTAAGAAAGCAAACTGTCTCCTCAAACCAACAGGCTACAAAGACAATGGGAGCAGTCCTTATGGGCATGCAGAGAGCTGTCAAAGTCCATGGTTATATGGCAGAAATAATTATGTAATATTGCCAGTAGGAACCACAGAGAAAACGCATGAATAAAGTGACATGTTAATGACTGAGAGTGTTCAAAGAAATATTCCGTTTATTTTGGAAAACAAATGAAAGGCAAGTTAGCCTGTCATTTCTCTTAGAGTTAGTTCATTAAGACTTCTTTACATAGATGCCAACAATTTATGGAATGATACCAGCAAGGAAGTCAGATATTGTCCATGCTCCACAGGCTGCCAGAGCTCTGGGTTTCTGTCACTCAGCCTCCATCCGTCCCGGTAGTTATTCTCCCAAGATGCTTTCAGGAAGAACTCTTCCAGCCTGGCCATTGTCTCAGTGGTTGATCATCAACTCTTGCACCAAGAGGTCACCAGTTCAATTCCTGGTCAGGGCACATGCCTGGGTTGTGAGCTCAATCCCCAGTAGGGGGTGTGCAGGGGGCAGCCGATCCATATTTCTCTCTCTCACCAATGTTTCTCTCTCATTATCCCTCTCCCTTCCTCTCTCTCTAAAAATCAATAAAAACATATTGGGGTGGGGGGGGGGAAACCCTCTTCCAACGGATCCCTGTGCCCAGCGTCCTGTCATAGCAAGTGGAAAATTGTGCTGGGTGTCCCCTAGAGGTGAGGGCTAGGCTAGAGAGGGCATCCTGCCTGTTTACGAAGGTGGGAAGAGAAGGACCAGGAGGAGCACAGACTGATGCTCAAGTTCCTTTCATCTTCATTCCAGAACATGTTGGTTGAACCACCAGGCACCCAATTCCTAACTGGGAGACCTTGAGCCTTGCTTCCCTCATCTGCAAAGTGGTGATAAGAAAATAATAAGAGCAAGCAGATCATGGGCAAGTATGTCATGGGGAGGATTAAATGAGATCATGTCCAACAGACAATTAGTGCTCAGGAAAGATTATTATTATTTCTAATGCATTACTACTATACTATAAGATACTAGTCTATGAAATTATTACTATTTTTATCCTGAGGACATGAGATTTACCCTAAAAGATACTGAGAATTTAGGAAGTTCAAAGAATAGGACACAGCCCTCAATGAGGCTTACCCACACCAAAAAATAATGAACACGGCAAAGCCTCTTAGAGTCAAAGGATGCTTGCAAACAGTATCTGTAACCAAAGAATGAAAAAGCAGTTTGTAAGTCAATTCCTCCACTGGTCTGATCATTTTCACCCCAAACATTTTGGGGGTTTTTGGCCTGCTCCTCCCAGCTGCTCTGCCTGGTTGTTCTCCAGCAACAGAGGTGTAGGCAGGGGGGCCATGTCTTTATAAGCAAGTGAGGCTGGGGGTCCCCAGGTCATGGGAGGCATGCTCTGACTGCAGGCAGCTGGAGAGAGGGAACTCTCCACCCAGGATGGGCAGCCCTACCTCCACGGCCCCAACACCCAAACTGCCCAGCGTGCCCCCTTTTGTCTTTATTTTGAAAGGAGCTGAGGACTGTACGGGGCCATGTGTCATGCAGGTACATGTGTCATGATCTCTAGGCCTTAAAGAGGTAGATGTCAACAGGGCCAAAAGTGGTAAGGGGAGGTTTTGTGAGAACAGAGCCTTTGGTGGAGCTCAGGCTGTTGAGTCCACCAGCATGTACACTCCCCATAGGCAGAGACTGTGTGTTTGCCTCGCGGCTGGAGCACTAGTGCAAGCACAGCTGATAGTTACTGTTCTGGCCGATAGCGATGCTCCCTAAGTTTTATGTGAGTGAGAGGTCCTGTCCTCTACTCGCTCTTTAGTGCTGTCATGAAAGGGTGCTGATGTGGGTGAAAGTAACCATTTCTGCCTCTCAGAAAGCTATTTGTGGAATAGACTGGTGAGTTTCAGAGGGAAGGTTGGGGTGAGGGGGTCCGGGAGGAGAGGTTAACCGGGGAACATATATGCATATATGCAGAGCCCATGGACACAAACAATAGTGTGGCAAAGGCTAGGCTGTGCCAGGTGCGGAGAGGAGGGGGTCAATGGCAAGAAAAACAGCAACAACAACAACAGCAAAATTAAAAAGGGGACATCTGTAATACTTTTAACAATAAAGATAAATTTCAAACAAGAAAACTCTGACCTCACTGAGCCTTAGTGACCTTGGGCGAGTTACTGAAGGACTGTCTCAGAAGCCTGTGCTTCCACGTCTGTAAGATGGCGATGACAATAGTACTGACCTCAGGGGTTTGCATAACAGTTCTAAGAGCTAAGAGGTGAGGAGTGCTTGGCACAGCCCCGGTGTATGTTCAGCTGCATTCACTTACCAGGCAAAGGGACTCACTAACCTATTAGCACGTCTAAGGAGATGTCCAGAGAGCACTAACGAATGGTGCTCAGTGGTGAGGAGGCCTGGCTGCCGGAAGGGAAGGACCGGCATGGCCTCCTCTGGGAGCTGGGTCCCATTTCTCTTCACTATTGAGAACTGTCCTCATGTGGCCTCCAGCTGCTCATGGGACATCACGGGCTGTCCATCCGTTCTACTGCTTCCTTCAAGTGCCCAGTTTCTCACTGGAATGAAGAGTTAGCCACATGGGGCCAGATTTCAGCAAAGAGAGAGCCAACTGTTCTTTTTTAAAAAAATTAACTTTTTGGAACTTAAGGCAGGATTAGTCACCTCAAAAGAAGTCATTTACTAAATTAATCAGAGAGACAAAGACACTTGCATTTATTCAGCTAATGTGTACTAGGCACTGTGGACTTAATTGACGATGAATGACACAGGGTCTCTGCCTTCAGTCACCTGAGTGTCATAAATCTGACTGTCACTTAAAATCCTTGGAGTCCCCCCTCCCCCCCAAAGCTTTTAGAACAGAGTTTAAATGACAGAGTTTAAGTGACAGTGAGATTTGTGACTCCCTAGCTTAGCACACAAGCCCTTCAGGACCTGGCTTCTGTGTCCACTTCAGTCTCATCATCTCTGCTTACGCAGACGTATTTTAGCCACAGTGAAAAACGTGCTGTACCAATCCCTTTGCCCTTAGCTTGGAATATCTGCCCCTTTCTCCAGATTACTGCTGGTTCTTTACTAAGACTATTAATGGCTGATTTTTTTTCTGTACATACCACATGCCCCCCTCCTACACATAATATGAATCCATGTGCCAATTCACTTAACCTTTATGATAATCCCATGAGGTAAACGTTGTTAGTATCAGCATTTTATACAGGAAGCTGAAAGGCGTGAACCAGCTGGCCAGTGCAGAGCTAGGATTTCAACTCAGGTCTGCAGGACTCACTGTGTCAGATGCAGCAGGCCCTCCTCCTCTTCCTCGGACCTCCTTGCTGAGTCAGACCCCACCTGTGCCTCCTCCCCCCGCCCCACCTCATTGGTTGGTTTTCCATCTCCTTCATTTGCCCGCAGGATACTTAAGAGGAGGGTCATGTCCGCATGTGTAGCTTTAGCAGTTGGCATTGTGTCTTGCACTTGCTGTGTATTTTAATATGGGTTGGCTTAATAGATAAATTTTAAAACCTCCCTTTCCTTGACAGTGCTTAAGAGACTGATTCTAAACTTATCTCAAGACCAAAAGTGTCAGGTGAACAAGAAGTGTAATCGCAAATAGCAAATTCAGATTTTGAGGGTCCTC